GAACAGGAACCTGCTGTAAAACAGCAATTATGCTGAGTCAGGCTTGATTTTTAATAATCTTTTCCAGTTAAATAAATAAATTATTATCAAATCAATTTAACTGTTTTTTAAAATCTAAACAATCAATGATTTATAAAGGTAAATCAGGAAAATTAACAAGGCTGCCCAAACATTCACACCCCACTGTATGACTGACTGAGTTATTGTCATATTTGACAAATTAAAAAAAACATTATCACCTGGTTTTCAGAGCTGGTTTTTCACAGTTTTAATTCCATTAAAAGATAAATAATACCATAAATATTGAACAGTATCTGTAAAACTTTAATTTTGAACAGTTCCTTCATGCAAACAGAACAAGCTCTACCTAAGAGTTGAGGTAATGTTGCTGTGGTTCATCTGTGCAGTTTTCAGTCTTGGACTTGTCACAGAACATTGTCCCAATCTGCCTCTGCACCCGTTCAGCCGACGCTGCACACTTTCAGCTGCTGCAGCCCTCGTCCTTCAGCTGCACTCCTCCAGGAACTCCAGGCTTCGGCAGTTTAACAGATTGAACCCCTGCAGAGGAATCCTCCACAGAAGGAAAACAAACCCTGATCCAACACCTGAGCATGATGCCTGTTTGTTCTAATTGCTTCGGCTTTGCTTACTTCAGTGCCAAACATGATGAGATCAGACATTCTGAGACAAGAACTCATACCAACATACGCCAAGGCTGCTGGTCCCACAATAGATGCTTTGAGCTGTGTTTCATCCAGCCGTTTGCATTAATTACCTCCAACAGCTTCAGCTTTATGATTCACACACCTCCACCTCCTCTGATGAAAACACAGTTACATCAAAGTAAAAAAAAAATACAGTTCATTCTGGCAGAGCTTTAAAGGTATTCCTCTTGTTTTACCAGAACCCTAAACTCTGCTGCTATTTCCTGTAGCTGTGGAAAATAAACAGATGGTATTCCTGTATACGTCAGGTCAGGCATGTATCATCCTCCACCACCATCAGATACACAGTCAGCCCCCCGCCCCCCTGTGCTCCCCCCCCCACTCTTTGTGTTGTTGCTGACTCACAGTTACAGCACCTGATCCTGCCGCCAGCTCCCACTGCTGGTGCCTCCTCAGCACCCACAGCCTGAAGCAGGAGCCAGCAGGAGCTGCTCGGACCACGGGGGGGTGGGGGGTGGACCCCTTCGTCGACAACTGCTGAGATGACAAATTGACTAACCAGCGAGCGTGATGTCGAAGAAATAACATGTTTTGTTTATTAAAAACTACATTTTTGACATCTTGCGTTGTGTTGTTCTGCATTAGATTTATACTTCAAATCTTCTGACTCCGAGTAACATGTTTTATTCAAGCAGTAGCTAAGCAGCCTAGACCATGATTGAACCTCCTCCGTGTTTCACTGGGGGGTCTCATTTTCTCATATTTTTAGTAAAGTGACTCATTCCAAGAGGAGTGGAATTAGTTATTTTTTTGTGTCTTAACGATTATGATCCCAGACCTTTCTATGAATGTTAGCACATTACTTCTTTTTAATTGTTTTATCTTTTTGTTTCATCATTCGTGCACTCCTTGGTCTTCACGAATGTTTGGATTTATTAGTCAGTACTTGACACACATGAGCAAAATCATCACCTTCACTTTTGGTGTCAAGAAATAAAGCTACTGATGGTCAAAGCCTTAAAGTTAAAGGATTGGGTGGAGTGTGTGTGTGTGTGTGTGTGTGTGTGTGTGTGTGTGTGTGTGTGTGTGTGTGTGTGTGTGTGTGTGTGTGTGTGTGTGGAGGGGGGGTTAATGTATATGTATTTTCCAGGTACATATTCAATTTTTTTTCCACAATCAAGTAACTATGTTACCTTCAGTTGTCATAAAGTGCTGTTTATACAAAAAGCAAATTAAACTTCGCATCATAAACGCCTTGAAATTGGCCTCTTTCTTTAAGAACCTCCAACCGTTTCTGACACTCCCACTTCAGCACATCTTTGCAACAATGCTTAATGCCGTTCACAACTTTTCATTGGAGCAATGTATTTTGTTAAAAAGGAAAAAAAAAGTTTTTTAATATAGATTTTGGAAGATGGTAACTCAGGATACATTTGAACCTTACTCAAAATGATCACACACATTTACTTAAGAAACCTGAGCGAAAGCAGAGGCTCTTTCAAGACTTTTCAGCTTGGTAATACATCCCCCAGTCATCCTCTCACACATACAGCACACGTCAATGTTTGGCTTCTTTTTGTGCAGAAACTTCAAATGTAGTTCCTTATAAAGCAAAGTTTTGCAATGAAATCATGAACACCCACCATTTTTAAGAAAGATTTTGCTCAGGTGGAGTTGTGTTGGGGAGGGGTGCTCTGTGCGGTGGGAGCTCAGCTCCAGGGAGGAGCTTTGGGTAAATAGGCGGTGCTTTGTATGAGCTCCTTCACATGGCTACCACAGGAGATTCAAGGATTTCTCAAACATGCATGAATGAATCAAAGCAGCACTTTGGGTGATATAAAGCCACAAAAAGTTGATTTTGCATAAGAACCTCCTTTTAATATAAGTGGTATGTGTTACATATTGTTAACATCATTATATATGTAAATACTTACAGAACAAAAACTAAAGAAATTAGTGTTTGGTAGATTATTTCTGTTGCAACAACACTTCTTGGCAATAAATCATATTCCAGGTGCAAAACAAGTGTCAATAACAGCAAAATAAGCTGTTCAACAGAGACTTGGCAAAATTTTCATGTGTGCAAACCACAGATCTACTGCTCATCCCACAAATGCAAGTTCCTTACAAATGTGGCGCCATTTAAAGGTGAAAGTAACCAGCTTAGCAGAATAAAATTTATTGCCAAGAAGCATTGGTACAACAAAGAAATAATCTACCAAACAATTTTCCTTACTGTTTGTGCTTAGTTTATTTAACCAACAAAAAGGGAAATTGTTGTTTGTTGGAACATTTTCAAAACTAAACTGAATTTAATAATTTAGAAAAGGATGTTTCTCCATACTGGTTTTATTTTATCTTTTCACTTTTTCAGACCTGGAAAATACTAATTTCTGTACTTTTTAAAACAAAGTCTAAACTCTGTCAACACCCCATCACAAAACTAAATATGATTAGGTGGACTCTTGTGAAAGCTTCAGGAATTTGCAAAACTCAGAGCAGATTTGCATTAAAGCTACTCCCGTGGCAGCGAGTGACCCAATAACTTACTAACACACTTTATGTTGGTTCTTACTTTTAAATACGTTGGCCTGTTTCTTTCATGTATTTAAAAAGAAATGTCTAAATTAAAAATTAATACAATTTTTGCAACCTTAAAAACAACCAGGTGCAGCAGCTGGAGATAAGGCTAATGCTTCTGTAAAACCAGACGTTTTATAGTGTTTCTGCTCCTCTTCATACGTCAGAAAGCCAGCAGAAGATGAATGTCTCTGCTGCAGGTGTCGGATGCTGCGTTGGTGGAGGAGAGTGCAGAGCTGCAAACTGAAGGACAGTGCACACACTCTGTTCTCTGCAGCACCAACACACTGAAAACAAACAAAAAAAAATGCTGATAAACGTGACAGATTGCGCTCACGTTGCTCACATTCACACCAGTAAGTGGATTTCAGTGAAGAAGTCTGGAAAAACTACATCATGTTTCGTTCAGTGTCACCTTGTGTGCCTCAAGTTTGACTGCAGAGCTTTTAAGGACTGCGAGAGGAGGCCACGCCCCCTAGTGGAGAACAGACAACTCTGAACAAAAAAATAAAAATAAAAACAAACACCAAGTCTCAATTTTCAGTTTTATTTAAGGTTTATTTTTCCAGACCTGCAGAGGACAGTTCACTTCCTGTAAGCGCCTCAAAAGTTGGTTTAGTTTTCCTCGCAACATCGTGTTAAAAAAAAAAAATCACTGTATGACGACTCTGTTGGTTTCTCCTGGAGATGACTTTGTTCATCTTTGTGAATACTGTTAAATAGGGTATGGCGGGGGGTGGAGGAGGACGGGGCGGGTCAGGGCGGGGGCTAAGAGAGAGAAAAAGAGTGAACACGATTCAGAATTAAGACTTCAAAAAAAAAAAAAAAAAAAGAAAAAAGGGGGGGGGGGGGGTCGTAGAGGTCGGTCGGTCTCGATCGGAAAGGCCGAGGGCTCGTTGATTTGTTACTACAGTACTTGGTGTATTCTTGCAGCACCGTCCTTAGTGATGCCTTACATCCAGCTGCTGACGTCACATACATTATTGCATATTTCTCAGCAGTCACTCACACTCCACCTTCCTCTCACCTGTCTATTTTAAGGCCTCGTGTAAGCCCTCGTGGGTTGAACGAAAAAGGGAAACCGGTTAACCTCTTCACTACCCTCGTTAGTATTTTCAACATCAGTCACATCTAATCGCTGTCCTGCCCGTGTGGCGGCCGTTCCATGTCAGGGCTAGTATTGTAGGTACCACACAGTGGCACTGTTAGAGTCTAACCCTAGTGCTCAGGATGTGTGCCATGATTTCCCACAGCCCCGGCTCCCTGCGGTAAGGCGCTGCTCTATCCTCTGATACAGAGGTTCAGCAAAATTCTCCCTCCAGCAGGATGGGACCCGTGGGAGCCCCTCGCTAAAGAGAGTGTGAGCCAAGTGGCCTCTCAGGCAGGCCATTTGTGTCCGTACTCAACAGGGAGCCCATGCATAGCCTGTGCTCTCACTGCCTGCATTCACTCGCTAATCAAATTGCATTCGTTTTTTTTTTTTGTCTAGCTACTGATATTTTACGAAACCAATTCAAATAAAAGCCAAGTGCCAACCCCTCTCATCTCTCTCACTCACCTTGAATCACAACATGGCTGTTAACCGTTTCAGTCTCCTCTGAAAAGTGGGGAGGGAGGGGAGACTGAGGGTCTTTGGGGCAAAGCTTTAAAAGAGCAGATTCACAGCTTGCTTTACTCCTGAAAAGAAAAACTAATCAACTTTCCCAAAACCACAAATGTTTTCATGCTTATTTATTAGTTATAGTTTTACTTTAAATTACCTCATTTCTGCTAATTTTTATCTGATTTTTCTGTGTGACAGTTTGTGGAGTTAGCTCGTGCCAACAATGGACGCCTTTTAATGCTCTACTGATTCTTGTGTTGACGATAAGCTACACAATGAATCCCACGCTGCGCCCAGTACGGGGCTACGGAGCGGTGATGGCAGCAGACAGAAAGGTACTGATAACGTGTGTCGCCACAAACAAAAACAAACAGGCCTTTTAAGAGGAGACACAAAGGAAGGAGGAAAAGAAGAAAAAAAAGAAGAAGAAAGCAAGGTTGTTATTTGTTAATTTTTCATACTCTGCAGATTGGTGTGTATTGCGCATCAGGGACAGGAAGCAGGGGGGAGGGTACTGGGTGAGTTGGTTTAAAGTGGGAGGAGGAAGTGGGGGGAATGGATGGGCGTCTGCTCCAGTCTGTGTTCAGTGGCGATCCACGGCGGCACTCTGTAGTAGCTCTGTGGCGGGCTGTCCTGGGGGTCTGAAGGCGGTCTGGAAGCCTGGGGGAGGAGAGTGGAACTGACTGGCGGGGTTGGCTGTGGGAGGGGGCAGGTAGGGAGCCCAGCCGCTGGGGGCTCTGTGATGGAGGGGGAGGTGGCTGTCGAGGAGGCTGCTGTGGAGGGGCTGGGGCGTGGGCACAGCGGCGCTGGCAGGGCCGTCCATCTCTGTGAGCGCCTGCAGGGACTTGAGCCAGTGTGGAGGGTTGTCGTCCTGGAGACAGTCTAAACTGTTACCTGCTGAGGCTGGGATGCCTGGGGGGGGGGGGGGGGGGGGACAGAGATGGAGCATGAGACAAAAAAATCTTTTAGGAAATAAAATTATGCAATATTACATAATAGGATGATGAGGTGGAGCACTGAGAACTGACCACAACTGATAAAACATGTTTGTCCTGAAGAAACAACTTCAGGTTAAGTAAAATCATCTTTGTAATATTTACTTTTTAAAATCACCTGTCTTCATAAATTATCACTATTGTTACCAACTATGACAGAAGTGTTTTCACTAGGGATTAATGCTGGGCAGTGATCATATTCATACCGTTAGAAAATACCACAGTATACAGAATTCTGCTGACTCAGCATGTTGCTGTCACTCAAAGAAACAGGAGGAGTCACAGAATGGCTTTGCCCCTCATTATGTCAAACAGAAAGGTTAAGTTAAAAAATAAATCAAAATAATTTCATACCACTCAAACCTACTAGGGATGCACCGAGCATTTGACCTGAAACCAGGGCTGCAACAACGAATCGATAAAATCAATAAAAAAAATCGATTATTAAAAGCGTTGGCAACGAATTTCATTATCGATTCGTTGTGTCATGGGATTTATATCTACTCATATTCATGTAATTCAGCGTTTTAATGATTTGGCCGATTAATCGAAAAAATAATCAACCGATTAATCGATTATTAAAATAATCGTTAGTTGCAGTCCTACCTGAAACCATCGCCTGGTTTTCACCATGCTCATCAGAAATAAATTTTAAATATCCGATTTTGTTTCTGGTTATTCCGTAAATTCTAAGAAATAATATTTTTTTTGGTCCATGAATACACCATCAGCACAGGACTCGGAAAATATGTCGTCAAGTGACTTTCTTGCAAAATTTAGCCAGTTTTCAGACTCTTCTAGCTCTTTTTTTAAAGCCACTAATGACAAATTTGGTGTTTGGAGACTTGTATGCCGACAGTGAACAGCTACTTTTGACTCCAACAGTGCATGACGTCAGCATAGGTTTGTTTCTTTGAGGATGTATTTGTTTTAAGACAGCAGATAACCTTGATGTGTAGGACTTTATATGGGCTGGCTCACTGAAAGAAAACCTGTATCGAAACATCATGAATCATCATCATATATCAAATGTGATATAAAACACTAAAAGTATTCATTTTTTTATATTTACTTTTCATTTAACAAAACAATAATAGCATAACTTATATTTAACAACTTTTACAAGAGCTTGTGGACATTAAAATAAAACACAGAACATTCTTGCCTAAAAGAATTTAAAAACCTAAATTGTTGGCCACAGTAAGATGGATGCAGCAGCTGCTGTTGTGTCTTCCTTTCTCTATTTGATTGCATAAGAACAGACTGGATCAATTAATTACTGCTTCATCTCCAATTAAGTTTGGAGAATAACGGCCAGAAAACTGATCATGATTAATTGTGGCCGTTAGCCGATAACAATTAATAGAAGGATGAACAGATGATAACTGCACTTGCATGTAGCAGATGTGGCCTCAGTCAGCCTTTCCGGGCTCTCCTCGTACTTCAGTTTATTATTTATTAGTTTCAGGTAATTAAACAAAGTTGTAGGGTTAGGGTTAGTTGGTCTGCACTGTTCCACCATTGGGCTCACATCACATAGCACTAATTGCAGTAATTGCAAAGTAGCAAATATTAATTGTTGACAGTTTTATTCTGACAATTGCACCATCTGTAATTACAATCTGTTGGTTGGTCTTACTCTACAATACAGTGGTCTTCCAACTGGTTATCAACACCCAATTAATAACTTTTCTGTTCTCTTCTGGAATTGTATTTTTTAAGGCAGGTAAGCTCCTCATTATAGCCAAAATAATCCAAGTCTTGAATATGCCAGCGTCAGTAAAACAGGACTTCATTTCTTTTCCAAGTAAAATCCATGTGTAAAGACACACAGAGCCTCTTGATTATTTGAACTGCTTTGTGCACTGATACAGGTACTCGGACAAATTTTCAATCTGAATTTGTGTTGCTGTGGGGCATTTAAAATTTATTTTTGTTTAAAAAAAATCCCAAAGCAGTGGCTTCTTTCTTTCTTTTTTTCTTAACCATTTTCCTTTTTTACTCTGCTGCACATAAGCCATTTTCTGATTGTTGACTGTAGCGCAACCTGCATCTTTATTACCTCTGAAGTGTCACCTTGATGTGGGTAACAGTCATTTCAAGGTTGCTCAACACTTATTTACATGTTTAAACAAGAAAGGGATGGACTGTCATCATCCAGAACTTGGCTGCAAGATCGCAAACATTTTTCTTGCTCTTACTGTTAAGAACTTTGTGATTTTATATCTATGAAAGGAACTATTTAAATAAACTTTACTTACTTGCTTAATCATGCTGTGATTTAATAATTTTTTTAAAGTTTTTATTTGTTTTTATCATCTTTTATTGTTGCACTTCGAGATCTGGTTTCAGATATAAAGTGCATTTCAAATATAATCATTATTATTATTATTATTATTATTTTAACAATCCCCATGTTACTCATTGAGCAATGCACAATCATGTGGATTAAAGAATTATTTTTTCCTGACCAAATCATTGAGTTTACATTAAAATAAAACTTACTTTAGATCCATTTACTTTACAAAGACATGAAGAGAAATCTCTACCTGTAATAATAGCTGGATCCATCCAACTGGCTGTTCCATCCCAGCTGAGGCTGTGTGACATGCCTACTGTTCCTGCTGGCCCTGCCGGCCCACCAATGTGGTTAACACTGTTGGAGGACGAGGAAGATGATGACGAGGAGGAGTTTGGGAGGCCACCGAAGTTGATATTGATGTTGGGCAGAAGAGCTCTCAGTCCGTCCTGCCACTCTTTCACATTTAAGCCGTCTATGGAGCCACTGTTTTCTGCAGGAGGACAAACACACACGTGTCAGTCTCCTCTGCTTAGACTGAAGAGAAGTGGTAAACATCTAACACAGCTTTTCTTTTCTCTCAGTTGAAAAAAAATCAGTATACTCTAATTAAAACAAGACAAAACATCAGCTCTGCTTCTGTTGGACACAAAAAAGCTGCCAAGGTGACCCAGGAAGCTGGTACCTGAGATAGGGATTCCTCCCAGCCCCGTGTTGTGCTGAGTGGGCAGATTCAGGTCCAGGATGTTACTGTGTGAGGCAGCACTGGCTGAGTGGTTCAAGTGTGTGAGGTTGTTTCGTGTGGGGACGCTCATCCAGGGGTGCCTGGCGGCCGGCAGCTGCTGCTGACCGGCCTGGCTGCTGTGGCCGCCGGGGAAACTGAAGGAGCTGTAGATGGCTCTGTGGTGGTGGAGCTGGTGGACGCGCGGCAGGCCACTGGGGAAGTGGTGGGAGGTGCTGGGGTTGGACGGGGGCAGGCCGGGACCGTGGCCGCCGCTCCCCTGGGGTAGGGGCCCGGGAGACGACGGGCTCTGATCCTGCACAGACAGCTCCTTCTCGATCAGGTCGGCTAAAGCCTTGCGGGTGACGTCGAAGGGATCGAAACCCAGATCGTCGTCCTGCTGTTTGGTAGATGATCCAAAGCCAAAGGCTGCCTGCCAGTCTGTTGAGGAAGCTACTGGTATTGTGTCTGTCAGCAGAAAGAAGAAGTCTAATTAGTAGGAGCGTGAGGTTTGAACCACTTTAGACATATTAAAAGTCATAAAAGGTTTGAAATAAATATTTAAATAACCACACACACAAAAATCATGGTATGTAATAAATTAATTAACATCTGTTTGTTTGTACATGACCAATTCACTGCAGCCAGGGTTAGGGGGTAACAACACATCGATCCACATTGATGTATTGATTAAATGATTGATTCAACTACATCAAGACAAAATGAAAACATCAATCCATATCGTTATCCTATGCCCGTGTTATGAAAATCATATCACAACAGACTTTGTGATATCGTGAAACATTGTATCAGCCAAACAAATCAAAATAATATAATGTGATAAAGTTGATTTACACTCCTAGGCCAAAGCCAATATATCACCCCCCTCCCCTTTGCTGCACGTCAACCTGAGGCTTATATATTTGAAATTTACTGTTGTATTAAATGCAAACGCGTCCAGAGCGTCGCCACAGCCCAAACTCCTACTAACAGAGAGAGAGCTGCTGAAGGATGAACTACTGTGGTATCAGTCACCACTGCTGCAAGCACAGCCTGTTTGAGTGTCTCACTTAGTGTGACTCACTGTTTCTGCTGCTTTATTTCTTGGAGTCAAACAATATGGATGCTGAAAGATGAATGTTTGCAAGACAAAATTAAAGTGTTGACGTTTAACTTTGAACATTTTTGGCCCAAAGTTCAACATTTTCTCTCTGTGAGAGAGTCAGGTTCTAAGTGTTTGTAGTTTGTCAGAAATTTCTGCAAATTTAACTTCTGCATTGAATAATAGCAAAATAAACAAGGTTTAGGCTCTTCAGATATGCCGAGCTTGATTAAATTTGAACCATACTGTGACGTGACTGTACTGCGGTAAATGTAAGTCAATGAAAAGACCAAATAAGAAAAAAGAAAAGTATTAAACAACAAAAGATGAAATCTTTAAAATATAATTCAACTGAATAAAATAAAGCCATGTTAAAAAGGGGGAGATCTTTCATTTTAACAAATAAAAAAAAGCTATTTTAAGTCCTGTTCGAAGGACTACCTGAGCTACGTTTTAATGTCACGCTTATTTTTAATATATATATATATATATATAAAAAGGCACACATACTCTTTCAATATCAAGCTTTACAAGTTTTATCACGGAAATCACATTTTGAATAGTGAACATGTGTATTATAAGGGCAGTTATGATTGAAAATGACAGGTTATGGTCTTTTTTTGTCACAAAAAGTACTTAAAATTCTTTATTTTTATGTTTAAATGTATTATTTGTTGCATTTACATTGGGGTTACTAAAAGCAAAACAAAAACTCAAAGTATTTGTTTTGTTTTTTCTCCCTGCTGCCCACCATCTGAAAACCCAACCCGCCTCGGAGGGGTGCCAGAAAGTTAGGGAACATGCTGCATGCATTTAAAAACATTTACAGTTTTAGGATAAAAAAAAATTAGAAAGTATGACTGAATACCTGACGTAAAGAGGCTCTGTGGTTCTGGAGTCATGGGCCAGTCAGAACTGGCGCGGGGTGAGCTGGGGAAAGGGGGCAGACCGGCAGGGAGGGGGTTAGGATGTCTGAAGTTACTGTTGTCTGAAAATAGTGACTGGGACTCTGCTGCGGCTCCCTCGAAGGGCGAGCGGGCCGAGATTTCCGACATGCTGATAGGCACCACTAAGATTGGCTTGGTTAGACCAGGGGGAGGGGAGGGGGAGTCACTGGTGGGTAGCTACAAAACAAGAGACAGAACAAGTATATGTAAGATTACTGTAAATATGAGACAAATAAAACATATTTAAATGTTATTAAAATAACCAGACGAGTTGTTTTACTTGTTGTAAAGTCTCTCCGTTCAACAAACCGATTGACTCTGAAGTTTTGTCATTTGGGCTGCAAACAGAAAGTGTACACAAGAAGTTAGGAGAAAATACTGACAGCAGGACTTTTGAGGTTCTAAATATGTAAGCTGCTTCTGTAAAGAATGTTTGTATTACCTATTACTGTCACAGTTGGAGGAAAAGGGGGACAAGGCAGGACGCTGGCCAGGACCCAGCTCTGATTCTAGCCCATCTGAATTACTAGCTTCCTGGTCTAGATAGTCTAGCAGCGGAGGGGACTTGCGGTCTTCTGAAAGTCCGTTGGCCAGTTTGCTATGCCCTGACAGCGTCGGCCACCCGTCTTTACCATTGCTATTGTTGGTTCTGTAACAAAAGCAGGAGAAATGTCAAATCATGGAGCGCTACACGGTGACTGAGCTGTGACAAAAGAAATGACCCGTCTGACCTCTGTGAGGAGTTGGGTTTACTCTTCGACTTCTCTGCTCCACAAGCTGGAGGTTGTAGAAAGCTAGGGTTTATTTTATAGAGGTCTTGGAGGAGTTTCTGCTCATACTCTTGATGTTTCCCAGCCTAAATGAATTATGAAACAAATCAAATTAATTCAAATCAAATTAGCCCAGTTCAAGAAACACTTTTCTCCCACACGTTCGAGGAAGACATAAACTATATTTACCTGCATCTCCTCTTTTGTAAAGCTAGCTGCTTCGTCCCCCAACTCATGTAGATACATACAATCAGGTTTGGGACATTGCATACTTTTCAGGAAATAACTGCAGTATTTTGTTGTGCCTAAAGAAGCCTGAAAGTCAAACAGAGTAACAGGATTTCTATTAAAAAATACATCCTTTATGCAATCATGCTGCCAAAAATTCAAACTTGAAGCATAATAAAAGTTTTTTTTGCCAATTAACAGCAAAAGAGTGCACGCTTCTTACTTGTCTTTCACTCACACAACTTCTAATCACAGCCAATAGATAAGAATAAGTCATTAAAACCAAAGAAAACATGAGCAGAAATGTGGTTAGCTTCTTACCTTAAGTGTTCTGCCATCAACAACCACATTGTTAACACACTGTATTGCTCTTAGAGCATCTTCAGAACGAATGTAAGTGACATAAGCACTGGCACTGGGCCCCTGAACAGCAAACAACAAAAAGAAAAAATAATAAAATAAAAAGTAAACACACAAGTCAAACAGACCTTTTGTGTCTCGTGTTTAAAAAGGAGTGTTGTGTGCTACAGTTACATTCAACATCACCTGACCGCACCATAAAATTATGTAATGTCCATTTACACATTTAGTCACAAACACTTTAACAGAAAGGACATTTGTCCTTTAAAGTACTCAACCTCTCACCTGTGAACCTGCGTAAGATGTGCTATTGTTGATGACCACTTTATGGATTTTGCCAAATCTACCAAAATACTCTGGTCGTTTCAGGACCTTTAAAGACAAGGCAAAAATATTTGGGTTTTACTGACAGGTTTTTTTTCCATCTGCAGCACTCAATAATTTTTAGTCATCATTCCCTCTCAAAATACATTCAGTAGTGTCTGTACCTGCGTTTATACACCCCAATGTTTCAATAGTCACGTTGCAGATCATGTGATGTAGAAGGCAAATTAAATCAACATGTAAACAATAAGTCATTGCACTAAATGGTCGTTTGTTATGGCTTTTATTTTGATGGTTTGCTTCCTCAGGCGGAGGATGAGGGTCTTGACGAAAACGAGGAGGAAAAGAGGTCAAATATGGTTTAGCGTGAATGCTAATATTTAGCATGACGTTAACAGAAACTAATCCTGACACAGGAGCAACATGTTAATGCGATTCACGATTGTGCATGATAGAAGGAAACATGTACTCCGGTCCCACCACAATAAAAGCAAACAATAACAGATAAAAATAATTCTCAAATACAGACAAAAACATAAGATCGGTACAGGTTCAATACCAACAAGATGGCAGCACAACTTAATATGTTATTCAAGTCAATTGTTGAAAATTCCTGTATTTTTTTCCATATCACAATTAGGGGTGTCCCGATCCGATATCGGATATCGGTCCGATATCAGCCAAAAAACGAGTATCGGATTTTATCGGACTGCATAAAAAATGTCCGATATMAGCGCTCCGATATTAGCAGTCCGTTCCAGCAGTTCACTGACTCCRCTCCAGTGTTTCTATCCAGCAGCGCTTGCATCCTGCTTGTAGCACTCACGTGATCATAACAACAGCAGCGCTAACAAGTTAGCAAGAATGTCGGCAGCAGAACTTTCTATTTTCATCAGAAACAGAGTTGCAGCGAAGTGTAAAGTTGTCACGCACAAGTTTTCCGAGGGGGAACAGAACCGTGAACGTTTTAAACCGGAGCGAACACTACTCTCCGCCCTGGCAGCAGCTTTGCGGTTCGGCTCGGTTCAGCCTCGGTCCAGTGACCGCACACAGCCGCGCTGTTTCGGAACCTCCTCTCTGGTCCGGTCGGTGATTCTAAGCGGGCAGAAGCGAGGACAGCACGCTTGTTTTGACATCCCGTGTATTAGCTCTTGATGGATAGAAGAAAGGAGAGCGCAGCTTTTGTTTTGGAATATGAGCGACATGACGAGAGCAGAGATAAGCTCAGACTGTAGAAAGTGGAAATTTAGCACTAAGAAAGGTAGCTATCAATTTAAATAACTAATTCTTACTATTTATTTTTTGCTCTTGTTATTAGAGTGATGTTTAATCTGTTTACACACTTGTTTGAGTGAAGATTAAGTGCAATGATCACGTTGTTTTAGTTACAGTCAGTAAAATTGGAGCTGTGGACTCTTAACTTTGAACAGACGATAATGTGGGGTTTTGTTTTGTCCCCACCTTCAGTTTTTTTCCACCATAAAGCAGCACCAAGCTGACAGATGGTAAAAAAAAATAACTGGAGTGATTTTGAATTATTTTACACTGTAAAAGTACATTTTGTTTTTATTATGTTATTTTTTCAGGGTATTGTAATTTATTTTATTTATTAAATTGTATAATGTTCTTCAGTTTAAAATGTATGTGATCCATTGGTTTAAAATAAATGGGTCAGTTTTTCTCATACCTACTCTTTTTCACTGTTTGACCTGATCAAGACTTTTCTAAGATTTTACACTACAAAATAGGTAAAAGTGTGTGACTTGCACTGTTAYAGTAACGGGTCAATATCGGTATCGKTCAATATCGGTATCGGACATTTCTCAAAGTTGTAATATCGGTATCGTATCGGAAGTGAAAAAGTGGTATCGGGACATCCCTAATCACAATATACATCACAGGGTTAGAAAAAAAAAACAATTGCAATGTCAGATTTTTTCCAATACCATGCAGCCCTAATTTTATCACTAAATTACGGCATCAAGTTGCCACAAGTTATGATGTTTAAGTATGTTAGGTGGCTGTACTCACTTCTGGGTCAGCGAGTCGCTGTGAGAGCCCCACCACAAACACCAGGTTCCTCTGGACCACTCTGACACTCGCCAGATGTTTGCGGTTTTCTGTCACCTTTTGCTTTTTCTCATTCTGTTTCTGCTTCTTTTCATTCTTTATCCTTTGGATCTCCTCCTGTGACAGAGGCTTGTACACAGCAGGGTCCTCTGGGTATGGCTGCACAAACACACACAAGCTCAGTTTTAAACTTAGACTGAGGAAATGAGTAAAGCACAAACCATAGTTAGTTTTTGTAAAACAAGCTACTTTATTAAAAAAGACTGAAAAAATGCAATTCTCTTTAAGTTCAAGTTTGTCTAAAATAATCATCTGCAGCTAAAATATCCAATTGCTGTGATAAACTGTATAGCCCATATTTTCTTCACCTTTCTGCAGGCGGGGCAGAGACCATTCTCATCTGTGCGGATGCGGTGCCAACAGAAGCGGCAGATCTGGTAGCCGCAGGTGCAGGGGAAGAAATTGACGTCATCAATCTCCAGGGGCTCCATGCACAGAGGGCACTCCATGGGGTCGTCCTTCAGTTCAGGGCTGTGGGACATCCTATTGCACAGTGAGGTTGAGTAGTACTAAGGCTGGTCACAGAGCACGGGGCTGCAAGCAGAAAACATACATATAAGTATAGAAAGAGAGGTCTCACTGCTGAAAACAACTGATTGTTTCTTCACGTCTACACAAATACTTAACAGAAGACATCAATGCACCAAAATTAACATTGTTAAATACTGTATGCATTAAGTCAATATTTTACTGATTCATTAAGCACTGTATTAACACAGCTCATTCTAAAAGTGGGGATTTTGATTTTTCATGGGTGCTGGTTCTAAGTTTTAGTTGCTTTGGAGGATTAAAATACTGATGCAGTTCACATTAACTTTTCTCATGCTTTTGAAAAAAAAAACACATTTAATAGGGCTGCACAATTCATTGCAAATTTATTGTCATCGCAATAACTGCCTGTGCAATCAGCATATCACAAATCTGTATAAATTGCAATAAATAGTTGGCTTTAATGTTTGCATTTATGTGTTTAGTCAGCATCAGTCTCCATCTTGTAATGGAAATGATGTAGATGTTTTTTTTGCTATGAACTCAGAGAAAAGACATCAACACCGCATACTTAATTATTTCTTCATTTATCGCAAGTCATCGTTTTTGCAATATTAAGCACTGTTATCGCACATCGCAGGTTTTCCTGATACCGTGCAGCTCTATTTATTAACAGACACATGTGCATGTATCTCCTGAGTGAAAAATCCATGGTTTTATCTTTTAAACCCAATGAGATGTGAGCACAGCATGAGACTTAGCAGTTGTGCACAATTGTTTTTTTTTAAACTGACTTCAATATATGATGATGTGAAAAGGGGCAAAGTTGATGATTTGCACTAAACCAAAAGTTTATTCACTCAACGATACTTTTTATTAAATATTTAGGTTCAAAATCTGGCTTAGAACAAATTTTAGTGGTCCAAAGCTCCAGATAATCACCATATCTCCATAATTTTGCAGGGAAATTGCTTTAAAATTAACAAATTGACACAACATTAAGACCTGTTAGATATGGATTTGATGAAATATCCAAAAAAATCTAACCTTTCACCTTATTGTGGATAGGAACAATACAGGTTAACAAATATTAGGATTGGGCAAAATGATATTATGAGCAATTAAACAGACAAAAATTAATATTGCAATTAGTGCCACGTGAGGGTGTATTTTTGTGTACGACACACTATCACTATCAGGCGTGCATGTGAGCCCAATGATGGAAAGTGACGTGGAGAAGAAGCTAAACCTACAAATTTGTTTAATCACCTGAAACACCAGCATAAACCAGATTATGAGGGCAGCCAGAAAATTTGGAACAGGCCAACAGGGTCATAGTGTTGGCCACGTGCAAGTGTCATTGTCATCTATTAATCATCATCATATTATATATTATTGGCTAAATCCCTCCATTATTTGTGAGAAATGTTTATGTTAATATTGCCCAACCCTAACAACTACCGGTGTCCAAGTGAACAGAAAATTCTGTTTAACCTGTGGTTTGTTTAGAAATACAACAAGACAATTGTTCCCACAACTACAAATGTATCAAAAGATACTATTATCAGGTGATCTTGCTTTGACGGAGGCAAAGAGATCTATTTGATCTCTGCAGCTGGTGATGAACTCTGACAGATGGAAAGATGAGTATTTCATACACCGCTCTGGATGTGCCTCAGTCAGAAACTGAGGTGGCAAAGTCCCAAAGCTTGAACATGAACCAAATTAAGCACATCAGTAAGAAATAAACTGCAATGAAACAAATCGCTCAAAATAAAACATGCTGCATTAAAACAATTCAAAAACAAGAATCATCTAACCAGGTAAAAGAAGAGCTATCATTTGAACATTTATTTATAATGAAAAACAAAACAGTCCAACAGCATTAGTGATAAAGTTGTAGTAATCAGATTAATCAACATACAGAAAAAAGAAAGGAATTACTACCAAGAAATGTTTTGACTACAGTTATTTTTATTTTTAATCTAATATGTTTTTCTTTAGTTTAAAGCACTAGTTTGTGACATTTTGCAGCTAAATTAAAACAAAACTGTTTCTGTAAATTGACTGTCTATTTACTAAATGTGGGAATAAACCAGTCAACTTTGAACATCTGCACAAAAAGGTGCAGAAAAGTCTAATTGTGTTGATGCTCCTAACTGTTAACATTATGTTAGGAGCACCGCTGCTCCAGCTGGAGTTAGTTAGGAAATGGTTCACAAATCAGTCATCAATTAAAGCATTTTTGTAAAGCACAAGTTCTAAAACTTCACAAATACGCTATTTTACTGTAAACTGATAAAACTAATCTGCAAATTGTTTTTTTTTCTGATTATTTCACTAATATTAACACCACTGACCACAACGTCAAAGCTTAAACGTGACAAACAGCCTCTTCCAGTTATAAGATTCCTCTGTGTTACGCAGCTTAAAAACAAAACATTTTCAATGGTCTTGTGGTTTAAATCAAATGTAATAAATTTTGACTACAGGCTGAATATTAGAGGTGCCTTATAAACAGCCATTCCTATAAATCACCAGAGAAAATAAATGCATACAATAAAAAATGACCAATACTACACTTCTGTTTGTTTCATTTATTATTATTATTATTATTATTATTATTATTATTATTATAGTATTCCATGACGGGACAGTAAATATATCTGTGCTGGTCATTCAGGAGCCCGAACATCTGTGTTGGCAGAAAAAAAAAAACAGATTTGTTGAAAAGCTCAGTTTTTGCTGGGCGTGTTTAGGAACTGTCAAACGACTACAACTATTCGAAAAGCAAGAACGAACAAAAGGCAAACAAGTGTTAATGCGGATGTTGTGCATCTCCTGGAGGCTGACAACACTTGACACGTCATATTCGACGTTAAAAAGAAATACAACGGATAGATTTCGTTAAAAAGAAAGAAAAAAAAAGAAAAAAGAAAAACGCCAGTGGGTAGCGGTTTCATAGCAGACAGGGCATTTACACTACACCAAAAAACAGTAAACCCACGTCGTGACAAACCCAGATTCGGATAAGCAAAAACGATGACAGGAGGGGGAAGTTAACTTCTTAAAAATGCCAAGATTGTCAGCTATCTGCTAATAAACAGACATCTACAGCAGTAATGTCCAACTATCGCTGCCTCCACACCAAACATCCTTGGTAAAGAAGACCGAAAGAAAGCCCGGCTGATAACTTCAGCCGCTCTACCGTCGGAGGCTGGTTCTGACTCTGTCTTTTGGATCTAACGTTATTATGACAGATGTTATTTAACTAAGCCGGTCTGCCTACTAGCACCAGTTTACCTACCATTGTAACCACAAAAACCAAACACAAAAAAATTAACACCAACTTAATGCAGACGTCCACAATTAATATAAGACTGACATGACGTACAGTACATAAAAAGTGACAGCTTGGGTAATGCTAACGCGCTTAGCTTCTATGCTAACATTCCCATTAAAATGTACGAGGTTTTGGAGCCGAGCTTACGACGCGGCCTAGAGAAGCTAACGCTCAACTGGAGGCGAGCTGTTGGCCTTATAAACAATTGACATCGCCCGAGGTCGTACAGATTACCTGGACAATGTTATGGCAGGCTTGGGGAAAACTCTTCTTTTAGTCAGTAAGCTTGTAGCAGACACACCTGTCTTTTATTCGCTGATGTAGGACCGAACCGGACTTGTTCGGCTAACGTTAGCTTACTTACCCTGTCCGTATTTAGCTTAGGATTCCACTCCAAAGGAGTCAGACCAAATTGGGCGGGGGCTGGAAGCCAATGTACCTGAAATGGCAAAATTTCTCAAAATGGTCACTTAGGATAACAGTAATCGCGTTGTTCTGTTATAATCAAAAAGCTATAAAGGTGTTTCGCCCCTTTCTTTTCTTGGTATTGTTAAGAGAAATTACGCTCAAACCACCATCTTAGCTAGCATTATAGTAGGGAGGAGGGAGACTGGGGCAAGTATTCAACATTACTGAGTCTGCGCAGTTGGAAAGATGCATTGTGGGAAATGGAGTTTTTATACTGTAAGTCACATCCCGGCAAAAAAAAAAAAAAGCATCTTTATTTAACGTCTAAGGTGGTAAAATTATGATTTTACTCAAGTGTTTTAATGAAAAGTTTAGTTTTGTATAGATTATTAAAATAACCTAAACATTGTATTGATGTATTATTACAATAAACAGTGTAAAACCTACCAAAATTGTTCCACCAATAGCTTTAATTGTTAGGCTACTTTTTTTTTTTTTTTAGATTGTCAGAATATCTCCTTAAAGTAATTAGCTTGTTAACAATAAAAAAAAAGTTTTTGAGCCAGAGGACATCTTGAAAATCAACACCTTCATAAAATAATCACCAACTTTGTCAGGGATCTTAAAAACTGTAATATGGTGTACTTTTGGTTAAGTTTTTTGTATTTGTAACTGACCAGCCACCCCTTAAAAGATCAGTTGTTTGTGAAAGCCTTCATGAAGATTGACTCCAAAAAGATAGTCTGTTGTAGGCGTACATCAAATGATTTTATTGCAAGTTACATTAAAAAAAAATGTCCAGGTTCATGAGGTATTTTGCTAACAGAATGACACACAAGCAAACACACAGACAAAAATAATACTTTTAACATTTTGGCAGTGGGCGATGATAATAAAAAGTATAGTTCTAAGAAACAGAAGGTCTTACACTCATTTACAAAGCCGTAAAATCACATAATGGTAATTTAGTTAATTTGTATTTTTTTTAGGGTAAATAACACTAAATAAAGCTTAAACATTAACAAAGCTTGGTTTGGGCCACTTGTGAGTTTGGATTTCGTTGGGATCCACAGACTCTAAAGTAAGCGTGGGAGAGATGGGGTGCCGTGATAAAAGGGACGTCTTTGCAGCCAGGAGGCCCATCCGAACACAGGTGTCTGTGTCTTTCCCCTGGAGAATCCCAGCCATCAAAGCGCCTGCAAGACTGCCAGCAGAGTGGAGATACGTGTCATTTATTTGAAATCTTAGACGTGATGTTGCAAAGACAAGTGAAAAGGGAGTGACAGGAAATAGGTCAAACATAAAAAAATAACTGTTGCAGAGAATGTATGAAGATAAAATAAAACAGGAATAGTAAATTTTTGAGCACCTATCTCCTGCTCCTGACACATTTATAGTTTCTTCTGGGGCCACAGTCAGTGCTGGGTAATGTAGAGCACAAACATGCCTCTTCTACAAATACAGGAACAGAAAAAAAATCACTTTTTTAGTACCAATAATATCAACAACATTGATTATTTCATGAATAAAAGCTTACCTTTTTGAGTTTTCTTGGCTGCAAGTTAATAGAACCTGCTTCCTGCTCTCCACACAGCAGAACACCATTGGGCCCAAGAGTCACCACCAGACAGTGCAGATGCTCCAGAAGAGGGCGTGAGAGAGCCACAGCAACACTCAGGATCTCATCCAGGGTGCTCGGCAGCACTGCAAACAAGAGCAATCACAATCTCATTCTGTTTCATTTTTATTTTTTGACAATAGAAAGTGAAAAAAAAAGGTAAGTCAGCAGAGTAAAAAATAACCCATATTCAAGATGAACACGTCACCTTCAGGAGTTTGGATTCCCAAGGTTTTATTCATGAAGCGCAACTCAGCTAGATTTGGGGACGAATAGGACAAAGACTTCCAGGCATCTGAGAGGAAAGGTTTACGAGCCTTTTCCACATCTGTAGGTTCATACCAAACTGTGACACACACAGACGGCATGATTAAATCAGTAATAGTTTTTTTTTATCATTAAGTCTCCATCTTTTTATGCTTACCATTTACATTGTGCTTTCTTGCAATAGAGCAAACATAATTGATGGTGGAGGTGGGGATGTTTCCATCAAGACACACAAGAGTGGCTGATGAAATCTGTTTTTCAAACTTAGACACCTGTTCAAAGATTTTTAAAGACAGACAACAGTCATGTCACCTTTCAATAAAAGGGGATTTCCAGGAGCTTAAACATAAATATAGTCCTCATGAGGAAGAAACATTGTATCTCCAAAATGCAAATTTTAAGAAAAAATGTCATTTTAAAATTAAAGTTCTATCAAAAGTACGGGTATCCCGATACCAATTAAACATCTATTTATTTAGAACAAAGTGACTCTCATTCCTTATGGGCCTACAGCCCCTCTTATTGGATCAAATCAAACATATGAATGATATACATGTATACTGCTGCAACATTTTAAAATAAATACCATTTTTTCAGTTTGAAATGTAAACTGTAACACATTCAATAGTATCGACACCCATGGTATCGAATCCAAGTATTGGAGCATTTTGTACGCGTATTTAAAATTGCTGGTATAGGGTCACCCCCAGTAACAAACGTTTTATACATTTTGCTTGAAAATCATTCATAAAACCACAAACATATTTATTTAGACAAAAAGCATGAAAATAGGGAAATTTAAAACACAATATATTTGCTTGACAGTAATTATGTGTTTTTAAGAGCACCAATGAAAATTAAAACATGACATTGTGGTTTGTGCTTCCCTTTATAAACTATGCTAAATCTTTAAATATTTATTATTATTATTATTATTATTATTATTATTATTATTATTATTATTATTATTATTATTATTATTATTATTATTAGTGGTATAGTAGACAAAATTATAGTCTTTTGAGAGTAGGCAGCAGGTGGAAGAGAGCCTGGAGAGGTGGAAGTAAAAACATAGGTGACTAAAACGAACAACCTATAATAACTATTATACACAGTGTGGCTCTAAATATACAGTAGTGCAAAACAGGTCTTAAAACGGAGTAATTCATCAGTAGAACTTACATAACTCTCAGTGATTTGCGTATGAATGTCCATGTCTCCCAGTCCAAGAGTCAGTTCTCCACTTTCAGTGATAACAGCACAGTAAGTTGCTGTGCTCTGCTTTTCTAGCCTGGTCACACCACTCATGTTCTTGAAAAAAATGATAAAAGTGTTGGTTTTTCATGTTGCAGTAGCAAGAGTTTAACCATGCTTAGTACCAGCTCACTGTTTATGTCTCCTTACCATGTGCTTACAGTAGTTTAACACGGCATCACTGTTTGCATCTGCTCCAGTAGCTGAGACAAACAAGGGCTTACGGCCTAATCTGCTCAGAGAGTCTTGAAGAGAACATCAAAGAAAAGTGAATTGAATCAGAAGCACTGATGAAATCATACATGATGTGGTAAAACAATAAAATAAAATAAAATAACCTGCAATGTTTCGACCGACACCGCCAAATGCCTGACAGACATTTCCTGGGTTGGTTTGTCTAAGCTGTACAGACAAGAGGTATTCTCAGAAGTTAATCTCACCATCTGTTCTGCAGAACTGCAGATAAATGCTTGCAAAAAATTAACTTACATGGAAAGTTTTAGTCTTTCCTTTAGCAATAAAATCAACATTTATTCCTCCAATAACAACCTGCAAAAGAAAACCCATCATCCTACAACACCTATTTGTGACAGTTGTGACTCATATGTACATACTGTATATAAAAGGGATCATACTCACAACATCAGGGTCTGCTGAGAGGGTTTCAGGATGATTGATTAGACATTTTGACTGTCCTCTCATTTGTTCTGAAAGTGCACATGCTATCTGACTGCCAACTTTAGCATTGTTATGAATGAGAGCAATGTCTTAAAACAGGACAAGTTAAGGATTAATTAATTGTTGACCTGAGATCAGTAGATCTCAGACATGACAATATTTTGACACAATTCAACATTTTTATCTATTTTCCCTCAACAACGTACTATTTTCCTTTTCCACTTCTTTTTGTAAATTCTGAGTGTTTCAGATATTTAGAAGGATACTAGTCTGAAGGGACTTCCCAAGAGTCAACTCATTGACCTTTTGAAGAATGAACGGTGTTACATCTTTACCCGAAACCCTTTTAGAACTGAGAAAACCAAAAACAGAGCAAACAGTGATAAACAGTCAGAATGGTTTGTCGGACGCCAATGATCCATATCTTGAAAGCAAAAACCTTGTGCACCTCGCCTCAGTCACTGCCACCTGTATAGCTTCCGCTATCTGCTGTCCTACTGCTGCATGCTCTTCAGGGACAGGCACTGCTATCAGTACACCACTTCGAAGTCCCAGGGACAAAGTGCCAGCTATGACAAAAACAGATTTAATCCATTATTTTGCTGCTAACAAAATTGTGCATGTTTACTTTGAGACTTCAGAGTGGAGCAATCAACCACCGATGCACAACACTGATTTACCAATGAGTTTTGCAGCCTCACTAGGGTTTTGAACATTGTACGCAGAGGTGAATCCACTGTTCGGAGTAAAAAAAGCTGGAAAATTCTTTGATGCTCCATAACTCGCCACACAGACCCCTTGAGTCTCCTATTTATACACAAGAAAATATTGTAAATGATTGCTATTAAATAAAACACCTCAACTAGTTTTGTAAAAAACTCTAAGAAATATTTTGGTTTCATGTCTGATTTCATAAATATATACATACAGTATATATGGCATTTTATAGACAATAATGTATTGTTTTCTCACAAGGAACTCCAGGGTGCGGCCAATGTCCAGAATAGACTTAACTCCAGCAGAAACCACAGCGATGGGAGTTCTGCCAAGCTCAGTCAGATCTGCACTGATGTCCAGACCTGAAGGAAGAGTCATTTGTGAGTTTTAATATTACTTTGATGCCAAAAAAACCCTTATTGTTCACACAGCATTGATGGCCTCAGATATGAAGACCATCCACACCAGTGAAACGCTGTCATTAATGTACTGTACTTTTATGTGTAGTTGCCATTGGCAGTACCTGTCATTCTTATTTGTTGTCAGTGTTCTATTTCTTTGTGCTCTTGTCAATGTATCATGTAAATGCCATGTTACAATGTCATGTAATTGTTGCTGTGTATAGCTGTAGTTTATGTGGCATTGTAAGAGTACCAATATTGTCTTTGTGCTGCACCAAAATAGTACCAAAGTAAGACCAACATTTTCTAATTGTCATTCATTCTACAATCCTGGAGTTGTTGAAATTGATGACTAAGTTAATATGAGGGGTTTGGATTTCACTAGAGTTTGAGACAAACAGAAGATGAATTGCAAAACTGAGATACACCAGAGTAGAGCTCCAAAGGTCTAGCTGGTTGGTTGGTGAGACTACATGCTGACTGAAGACTAATTTGGTCATCACCAGAGGGTGATGGAAAGAACTGTGACAAAGTATGCTCAGTAGACACCACTGACAGAAGAACACACACTGAAGAACAAATTGCTATACGTACAGTACCATGAGACTTTTTGTGGAAGTTTATAAAACCAGTAATGCTTTCTGAAGCTATAACTGTAAAGTTTATTTTCCAGCAGGTCTGCTCACTGTTCTGTCCATCTCTGTGAACTCCTCCAATGCCTCCTGTGACAAAAACAGGGATCCCTGCTCTGTGTGCTGCGATCATGGTGGCTGAGACTGTCGTTCCCCCAGAGAGACCCTGGAAAATGAGCCAGACTTCACAAAAAATAACCAGCTCTGGTATTTGATGCAAACATTTCAATCAAATCCCATCTTCAGTTCACACAATTAACCATGGTCTCCCGCTTTAGATGCTTCCATGTCATTTGTTTCATTTATATGCTGAAGAAACCTTTCTAGCCTCTTGAAAGGACAATGGATGGACATTTGTTGGTAAAAGCCTACCCTGCAACCGAAACTGAAATGAGTGTATTTATTTAAATTAAATCAGACTTACTTTGCTAATGACATAAGGCAGATCACGTCGTGACACCTTCAGCAGGTTCTTGGATTTGGCTAGGTGGCTGAGCTCATCCAACGACAGTCCAACACAGATTTCCCCATCAATCACAGCGATGGTGGCAGGAATCGCTCCTTCAGCTCGGACAATCTCCTCCACCTCTTTTGCAGTTCTAGACACATATAGTGGTTGAGCACATTATTAGTTTTGAGAACAATCGTTGCCTTTTGGTATATATTTATACACACACATTAAATCATGCAGGGCACCTCAGGTTGTGTGGGTAGGGCATGCCATGTGTGATAATGGTGCTCTCCAGTGCGACCACTGGCTTGTTTTGCACCAACGCCTGAGACACAGACGGATGAATTCTATAAAAGAGATCTGAGAGGAGAAAGAAAAAAAACAACAATTATTATCACCATTCAGTTAAAACTGTGTATTTTAAAATATTTTTATGTTAAACATATAAAATATTACCCTTGTTGTGCAATGTGTTCTGATAAGTTCGAACTCCTTTTCTTATGAGCACACTGACTCTTCTCAGCGTCCTCATTCTGTTCAGTTTATTTTGAAAACCCTGATGACATGCAGACTTTGAATTTTCATCAGTATCAGACCTTCTGTTAATCAGTTTGAGTAAATCAGCATTTGTTTCACAGCAAAAGGCCAACATTGTGACTGTCTGGGTCTTAAAATTCCTCCCTCCAGGTTTGTAGTCATTTACAAAACTGCTTGAGCTTTTAAACTAAGAGTTTAAACAGTTCACATTGAGAAAAGTCATTTATTGTTAAAGAAAACAAACATTAAACAGTTCTCAAGTGATACAAATATATTCTTGGCTAACACAAACTTCACTTGAAGTTACTAACAGTTTTTAAAAAGATTACTGTTCTGTTTCAACAGACATATTTTACGATTGGAAAATGGAAAAAAGGATAAGTTTAGCAATTTTACCTCAAGTTCTTTAAAAGAAAATGTTTGAGTTTCTGAATAGTATCCTTCAATGTGTTTTCTTCCACGTCCAGGCACAAGGTTTATTCAGCTATTGTGAGGAGTTTCTTTTGATTCAGTCAGTTGGCACTAAGTCCCACCATCCTGACCCCTTTTTGGAGGCACTCTCATCAGACACCCCAATACTAGAACAGAAGTCCTTTTGTTTTGTACCACTTAGTCACACACAGACACTATATACTAAATATATTAGTTTTCTGCAGAGATACATCACTGACTCATCCATAAATTAATTACCGTTAAGTGGCCACAAACAACATTAATTCCTCTGGTAATGGTAAAGCCTGTATTTCATTGGGCTGCAGATGCTAGCACAAAATTGCAAACGGAATTTGTGAAGAAATTTCAAAATATCTGAACATTTGTGAGGGTTATCACTTTCTTCATGTGACTCACAAAGCCATACTTTAAAGAGGATTTTGAATATATTGCAAAATTAAATTTCAAAATAGTCAAAGTCTGGAATCTGTCTCTGCTCAATTTACTTCCTGTGAGTCAGAAAGAAGAAGGCCTAAGACAGAAGTTTGAGAGAGTTTGGAAACAAAATTGTGATTGACTGCAGATGGAAAAAAGACAATAAATTATAATCAAATTAAGACATGATTAAAAAACAACTAAATTGTGGCAAATTCACTGAACATTTTATTAAATGTCACAATTTGCAGTTACGTACATATTAAGGAAATTTCTCATTAATACCATCTCAGTAAAGATTTCAACATTTTATGGCAGTTTTTTTTTGTCTCTAACCAGTCTCCAACAGTTTCAACCCTACTAAAATATAAGCTTAAGGTATCAGGACTAGACTGAATATGTGTTAAAGTAGCCATGTCTAAAGACAAATGGATTTTTCAGAAAATTCCTGGAAAGGAATTTACTGAGAAACTCTTAAAGAAATCACAAGAAAGTTTGACTCCATGAGACAAAATATAAGACAAACACAGGTTTGCTCAAAATGTTTTAAAGGTATACTTATATACAGTAGCCTAGATAAAAAAAAACTTCCACATAGTTACATCTAAAATGAACAAATCTCAAACATGGGTACATTAAAGCAACCATAAAGTACATTAGAGGAAAAGGACAGTAAAGGGAGTTTAAAGAAAAGACATGACAGTGACAGTGTGATCTAATAAAAGGTCAATAGCACATTATTACTATTAAGTAATCCAGTTACTAAAAATGAATGACTTTTTTCACAAAACGTTAAGTGCTTACCTTCTGCAGTGCAACAAAAATGCTAGAAACTTTGCCCTGAAAGCTGAACATTGACCCAAACCTGTTTACACAATCTAACCATCAACCACAGACCTCTCTTACTCCTGGAAAACCCTAAATATTAACAAAGTAATGTGACAAAATAATGTAGAACAGGCTACAAATACGTTTTGTCATATATATACTGTATATATATATACTGTATATATATA